ATCTAAAACATATAATCCAAGCAAAGCAAAAGTGTGAATAATAAATGGATGTCTTAATCCAACAACCATTAATGCATACCCTTAAGCATTATTCACTTGCGTGGCTTTCATTTTTTCACTGCTTAGCTCAATTTTGCTTCCCTTTCCAGATTACTACCCATATCCTGTGGATATGCAGCTAGCAAGGCTATATCATTTGTGAATTCCATATCCATAAGACTAAATTCCTCCTTATCCTCCTTATAAAGTCTATACGCAGAAAGAACAGGATTGCAGAAAGAATGTAGTCTGGCCCAGGGGTGAAATCTAAAAATTTTCGCTACTGGTTCTGTGGGCGTGACTTAATTAGTGGGCAGGGCTTAGTGGTCAGGTGACTGGGTGGGTGTGGCTTGTTGGTCAGGTGGGTGTGGCCAAGTTGATATCACTTCTTTGCCCTTTTTTAACCTACAAAACACAACACAACACAACTGGCTCACCCACAATGTAAAAGCAGCTGTGCTAGACCCAAAATGGCCCCTGCAACAAGCAGGAACCTCACACAGGCACAAAAAGCCCAAAAAAACAACTTTCACACTTTACACACACACAACACAACACAACACAACTGGCTCACCCACAAGGTAAAAGCAGCTATGCTAGACCCAAAATGGCCCCTGCAACAAGCAGGAACCTCACACAGCCACAAAAAGTCCAAAAAACCAACTTTCACACTTTACATACACAAAATGCCCGCCGCCATCGCTACCTACTCGCCCGAGCCGGTCCGAACCAGGAGCATTTCATCCCTGGTCTGGCCATGCTCCAGAGCTGGTAGTGAAGACATCTATGATACCATGATCAGTTTTCAAGGGGCAACTGAAGTTCAGAAATGGGTTTTGGAAAAATATTAACTAAGCATTAAGAGATATGATTTTGATATTTCTCATTATGCATCCTATCAAAGATCCAACCTACTAAGGAGAAATTTCCTGACAGTGAGAACAATTAATCAGTGAAATGGTTTGCCTCCAGAAATCATGGGTGCTACATCACTGGAGGTTTTTAAGAAGAGATTGGACAGCCATTTGTCTGAAGTGGTATAGGGTCTCTCCTGCTTGAGCAGAGGGCTCATCTAGAAGACCTCCAAGATCATTTCCCAACTCTGTTACTCTGTTAAAAGCTTTTTTCTAAAGTGACATAGTTTATTGGAAGTGTCCATTGGAAATCAAAGTTGTGTTCAATGTTGTTTTGTACTATAAAGATTTGTTCATTATATGATCATCTATCATAATTGCTTGTTCATTGCATCTGGTAGTTGCCTAGTTAGGATGATGTGTAAGACCTTCCAGAGTCTGAAAGGAGAATGGTGGCTATACAATAATTACAATTGGTCATATTCGCTCTTCTTCAGTAATTTGATGATCACACCCTTTTACTAGTCATCTGGGACACCTGTTCGCTAACATTCATTCATCACTCCCATTAGTTCTTGAATGTGCAAAATGGTGAACATACAACAATGAATGTACAAAAACAAATGATAGGACTTTTCAAAACATTCTACATTGACCAAAGTTAACACTGATCTCTCCTCCAGCTCTGTTGTTTTGCATGATACTGGAAGCTAAAAAGTACATGCACACTGCAATCTTTGCTTTGATTATGTACAACTTTTTAATTGAGTTTTAGACTTACCTTGTGCAATTTGAACCTCAGTGGCCATCACCTTGCATTTGCTTTTAGTGGATTAAAAAAAGAGTCTGCTTTCTGAAAATCTAAAATGGTGGTTAGAGAATATGTATGCCCTGAGATGATGGTAGCACATGTCCACTACTACCTCAAGATTTTAGACTTAATCATCTCATCTCAACACAGCCTGTGAATCTTTCACAAGGCAGCCTTTTAGCAAGACCTTAGCTAAACTTTAAGCCACATTTCACAGCACTATGTGACTTCTCTCATAGTCAAAATGAAGTATTGTTGATTTAACAGTGAGTCTTGGCTTGCTCTCTGAATAATACATATACAAACAAAGTATAAAATACCATGCAACTCCCTGTAGAGCAATGAACTTAGAAATAACTCTTTACAGTCCAGAACTTCCAGCTTGTAAAATTTTCATCCACCTTTTTTATTGTGGATGATGTCAGTAGTTACAAAATATAACGATGGCATCCCAATCTTTCTATTTTATTTAGTAAACTATTTCAAGATAAAGGAATAAAGCAGCCATATTCCAAAATATATTTGGGTTTGGGGTTCATTTATTAGAGGAAATGTGTAGAAGTGGCTCAGTGCCTAAGGCGCTGAGCTTGCCGATCAGAAAGGTTGGTGGTTCGAATACCTCGTATAGGTCTCCTACGTAAGCAGGGGGTTGGACTAAATGACCTCCAAGGTCCCTTCCAACTCTGTTACTGTTACTTGGAGAGCCTAGCAAATGGGCTGGGGGAAGAAAGAAAGAAAAGAGAATTAGCTTAATTGTAAACCTTTACATTAGATCAAAATTGGTTGTTGTTTTTACCTGAAAAATAAATCCTTCCAAATAATTAAACCAGGAACTAAGAGATAGAATGTAGGGATTCAAAATCCCTTAGGGAGTGAAAGGTGATGATGTTCTTTGTGAAGGATTCCATTAAAGTTAATTTGAAATAATAAACATTTCAGGTATGCTTGCAAAAAAAGTAAAGACAGATGATCAAAAAAACTGTTTTTATGTGTGCCATGGCTATCATTTTGACTTTTTGTTAAGCACTCTGTGGACAACCCTGAAAAACATCAAGACTAGCAAATGATTTAATGAGGATTTTGGAGGATACATGTTGGGCTATACCAAAAAACCCTATCTAGTAAGTTTCCTACAATGGCTAAGTGGCAAAGCCTATAACCAGAAGCCTATATGTATCCTCCAAAATCCTCATGTCGTCAAAACATCATTCTCGATATTACTAAAGCAAACTGGATTTCTATTTTACCCCATAATGAAAGCAGAGAAGCAGCATGGCAGATTACCTAACTTCTCCAGCCCGGTGATAGTTAACGAATGCCTTTTTTCATATCATACAGCTAAAACTCAGAGTTGGAGATCCACCAAGAAAAATATAGTACAGAATCCACATGATTTGGAAATGTGAGCACATCAGCAGAACTTAACAAAAAGTCAAGCTGGTGGTGAGAAATTCCTGGAATTGTGTAAGGTTGTAGACGTTACAAGTGCATCCAGCCATATACCACTGGAGTCCAGCTTTGGATGTCCTGGGAGCTGTTGATACAGTTCTACAGAGGAATTACTGAATCTGTCATTTTTACATCTATAACTGTCTGATTTGGTACAGCAACTAGGAAAAGTACAGACTCCAATGGATAGGACTGCAGAAAAAACATTTGCAACCAGTTTGCTTTCCATAGGACAACCTTTTATGTTGCACAGATCAGAAGGAGGGCTGATAAAACAACTACAGACACATCCTGGATATAAACTGTTTCAACTCCTCCCCTCGGGATGCTGTTATAAGGCATTACAACTAGACATAGGGACAGTTTTTTCCCTCACGCCATCCCTCTGTTGAAGATCTAATCCTTACAATACTGTCTTACATCTAAGTATATTCACCTATATTGTATGGCTTTATTATTATTATTATTATTATTATTATTATTATTATTATTATTATTATTATTATTATTATTTATTGGTTAATCTTTAGTGAGATTCACAGCCTTTGAGGCTGGTTAATAGCTCAGCAGCTCGAGTCCTAACCAAGGACTAGGAACTGTTAAGGTATCGTCGGAGGATGTAAGCTGTTCCGAGTAAGGTGGTTTTTTGTAGAGTCAAAATGTTCAAGTCCGGCAAATTTAGAATTTCTAAATAGCGGGGTAGCCCTTTGGGTATTGCTCCGAGGGCTCCAATTACAATCGGGACAACACACGATTTCTTTTTCCACAGTCGCTCAACTTCAATTTGTAAGTCCCGGTACTTTGTGATTTTTTCTTGCTGCTTATCTTCAATTCGTGCATCACCAGGTATTGCAATGTCAATGAACCATACTTTTTTCTTTTCAACTATTGTTATGTCAGGTGTGTTGTGGACCAAGTGCCTGTCAGTCTGAATCCTAAAGTCCCACAAGATCTTGAGTTTCTCATTCTCTAAAACTTTCTCAACCTGATGTTCCCAGTGGTTTTTGCTGTACTCAAATCCAAACTTCTGGCACAATTTCCAGTGAATGATTTTAGCAACACGGTCATGGCGTTGTAGGTAGTCAGTTTGTGAAATTTTGCTGCACCCACTGATCAGGTGGTCAACTGTCTCTTCTTTTTCATTGCAGAGGCGGCATTATTATTATTATTATTATTATTATTATTATTATTATTATTATTATTCTCATCTTCTCTACTACTCCCCTCTTACTGGTAGCATTATGATTATTATTACTCAGTTGCCTTGCATGTACGACACACCTAATTCCCACAGCACTCTCTTATGCCTAAGGTTGTAGTATGCTGCTACCCATGTAGTATGGCTGCATTACTATTATCCTTTTCATCTTTCCTACTACCTTCTCCTATTGCTTTGTTGTTCGTATGTACACTGAGAGCTTCTGCACTGGAGACAAATTCCTTGTTTGTCCAATCACACTTGGCCAAATAAAGCTCTTCCCTTCCCTTCCCTTCCCTTCCCTTCCCTTCCCTTCCCTTCCCTTCCCTTCCCCTCCCTCCTCTCCTCTCCTCTCCTCTCCTCTCCTATCTTATCCTATCCTGCTGGAGCCCAGCATTGGATGCATCCACCTCATGTGAATAACTTCTACCATTCATGCCACAAATATTTGCATTCTTCAGAAAGAAAGCTGCTGGGTGATGGAAAGTGAAGGAAATCAATGCATTATGTTGTACTGACAACAGGGATTCATATTTTCACAGCAGTTCTCTGACCTTGACATTGCCACACTGTCCAGCATCTGGGGTTGGAGCTAGAGAAGCCGCAGGGGTAGTTGGGTGGGAATAGCCTGTTCTATGGAAGGACATTGATTTCTTTCCCAGAAAGCTCCTTAGGTTTTGCCTAAAGGGGGGTGGGAAACTCTTCCACCTTGCATGTTGGTGAGCTGTGGTAGGCTGAGACTCCGTTTTTTTATCTGAAAGTCAATGTAATCTTTGCAAGAATTGCTGTGAAATTCCTAGCAGTGGGGATGAAAAAGTAAGTAGGGGAAGCTAATCCCTAAGCAGTTAAGAAAGGAAAAAACCACAAGAGAGCACAAAGGAGAAAGAGGAGGAAGTAAATCTGAAAAACTGTGAGTTTTCTTCAAAGTTTTAATTAGCACGGTGAAAACCCAATTGGGGCACACCTGGCAGTGTGTGATTGGGGAACGAAGCAGCTGAATCTTTGTAGGTGCAATTTGCATTCCTTTAAAATAGTGATGGAAAGTGGAAAGACGTTCTGCCTCATGGAAGTAGCCTGGAGATTTTCCTGATCACCAAAAAGCCAAAGAGCACTATGTTCTTCAAGTATTTACAGTGTGATGGTTGTGAAGAACCATTAGTCGGCCCTACCTAAAAATCACAGACCTCTTAATGCATTGAATGAGGTATCTCTGAAGGAAGGAAATTCTCCAGTGGAAAAGAAGAAACCATTGACTGGAAGCATCCATTTGGGAATATTCATCAGGAAATCAACAAGCTAACAATATGCGGTGTAAAATGACAGTAGCCAAGGAATTTCTCCAGGCCAGAAACCTACTACTGGTTGTTTTAATTCCACTTTTGCTGCTTCCATTGCCGCTCTTATACCCAACAAGTGTAAGTATTTTAATACGTTCTTCATTGCAATTTTAATTGGGGACTGAGATGGACCATGGAAGACAGAGTAAAAGAGCTATTGATCAATTAGGTTAAATGGATAACTAAATCTTAGCATGCCTATATTTCAATATAGATATAGGGAAAGGGATGACTTTCCAGGCTTGGAGAGGAAAAAATAATATCTATTAAGTCTTTTTTTTCAGGGAATGATTAACATTCATAATGTCCCCTTCAGTTCCCAAAGTGAGAAATGAACCACGTGAAATGATCTGATAGATGAAAAAGTTCCGGAAGTAAAAGTAATTTAAATATAATTCCAAAAGTTATTCCAGGAATCAGGATTTGGGCATACATCCCCTTTTACTGTACTAATTACTTCAGTGGATGAAAAACCATGGAGAATCTTATCTTGAATCCCACAGACATGCTAGCTTGGAATGACAGGAGGTGAATGTAACATCTCATCCGTTTGAAGGTTATCAAAGAAAGATCCAACTTAAAAATAAGGACAAATTTCCCAACAATTGAGAACAATTACTCAGTGGAATGGCTTGCCTCCAGAATTTTGTTTGAAATGGTAAAGGGTCTCCTACTAAACAGAGGGTTGGACTAAAAGACCTCCAAGTTGCCTTCCAACTCTGCTCTTCTGCTCTCTTCAAAGCACTAGATTTGGGGAACCTGGTATGGGAGTAGAAGGAAACAAGGGGAAGCAGAGGTCTTCTTGAATGGTTTCTTCTCACAGAGTGAAATGAAACTAGCAGCTTTGGGAAGGGAAGGGTGTCTTTGGACAGCATGACTGAGCTTTCTCCAACATTTGCCTTATTGCTTTCTAGCTTTTCAACCTGATTTGGCTATTAGATGTAGCAGCTAAATTGAAGATCAGTGTCCAGAGGCAGTAAATACCAGACACAGAGACAAAAAAGATAAAGGGTAAAAAGTGACAGATCTGGCATCTTCAGGGATGCTACTGACAATGATTTAAAAAATGAATTGGAGAGAAGAAAAATTGCCTCAAGTAAGAAGACTGTACAGCTAGGACTAAGAAAACATGGTTTGGGGTTATATAATGCAATAGCAAGATCATGTTAGAGTCCTTGTCATTTAATTGTCTCAATGAGACCCTACAGATATAGAAGTGATCGTAGGCTTTGTCTTCATTAACCTTCCAATTGGGTTGTTACCACCATTTTATAGGCAGAAGCTGTAACATGCTGAGAAAAAAATTAAGAGAGGCATAGAGACGCTATGCAAGCTGTAAGCCATGTCCTACATAGGAACTGACAAAAGTTATTCATTGATGAAAATATTGCATTCTAACAAGACCAATTTTCTAAGCCCGCTTTATGGCCTTGAATTCTATGTTAAACTCTGCAATTATATATATACATTCTTTGAACTTCTTCCAACCTTCCTTCATCAACCCAGAAATAACTTTCTTTTTGAGAGTAATATGCACTTGTCCAAGGTCATCCAAGGAAATAGTATTGTTTACTTCAACTTGCTAGCTTCAATGAACTCAGAATATACTTTTTTTCATAAATATGTTTGAAACCTCTTTAATTCTGTTTTACTTGTTATTTTCGTTTATTTAAAAATAATAATTAACAAACTAAAGAAAAGAGCAAAAAAGGAAAAGGAAGAAAAACATGGAGAAGGGACTGATAATCTATAAAAATTGGACAAGTGTTTACAAAATATATTAGAAACTAGAAAAACATTCCCATTATTCTGCTAGCAACATTAAATTGGTACAATATATAAAGAGAATATATCAATTTGCCACTTTAAACAGTATTGTACAACTGAAGCCAGAAAATAGTCAGTCAAAAAAAACAATAGTCAGTCTGTCAATAAAATTTAACAAGAATTTCTAACTCATCTAAGATAGTCTGTCTTAATTATATGACTAATCAGACAATGCCTAGTGTTTTAAGAACTTATGTTAAAAGGAAGACAAACCTGAGATGCTAATTAATAGTATCCTCTTGTCTATCAAGGTTATAGCGAACAAGTAGGCAAATTAAACAAAGCAGAAGTCAGTTAAAACTAATTTAAACAAGGGAAGCAAAGAAAGGTAATGAGATTCTTTCTTTGCTACAGATAAAATAAGATAATGAAGACAGAATTAAGAAACAATGAACGGAAACTCACACAAACATTAACAATCAGCAAATAGTAAATTAATATAAAATGCTATTAAATGTCTGTAACATTGCATATTTACCCGTAATTCTATTTGCTTAATCTATCTTTTACAAAAGAAAAAGGAATCTTTTTCGACTGTAAATTATTTCAATGTGCATTTGTTTAGAAAGCTGTTGTATTTTTGCTGATAAACATGGAACGGTTTATATTGCCGCAGATTTTTTTTTCTCAAATAATATGTTACCAGCTTGTCTCCAGCTTTAATTCAAGGGCTTGGTGTTTCAGTTTTCAGCCCTTAATCAGCCTGAAAAATATTTTGCTAAGCAATGTCTGAACTGAGGACCCAGATTGTGGGGGCAATAAGCTGACTTTGTATAAAAAAGAACACTGCTTAGGAGGGGCCAAAAACCCTACTAAGCAGGTATATACAAAAGTATGAAGGTTATTGCTTAATGCATTGTAAGCCGCCCTGAGTCTCTGGAGAAGGGTGGTATATAAATCAAATAAATAAATAAATAAATAAATAACTACAAGAGAATGTCCTGTAATATCTGAGGCTGAAACAGTGGAATAGATTTGAGGAATTCGTGAAACTTTAGGTTTCAAAACCCCTCAGCTCTTATAGCCAATAGTGAGGAATCTTGGGGGTTGCTGATTGTCATGGCTGCTCAGGCAATCAGGAATATTTGGTTGCACAGTATTATCTCAGCTTTACTCTAGGGCAGAGAGAAATTCTTCAACTTATTTCTTCGTTTTCATTCACTTGAAGCTTTGGAAACCTTTCAGAGGAGAAAAAGACTTCAAATATTAATGGGTGGAGACAGTGGTGATTTTCAAAAAAAATTCCCTCCGGTTCTGTGGGCGTGGCTTGGTGGGCGTGGCTTGGTGGTCATGTGACTGGGTGGACATGGCTTGGTGAGTATGTGACAGGAAAACCAACTATCACACTTTACACAAAAATATCACAAAATCTACACAACTGACTCACTCACACACAATGCAAAAGCAGCTGGACTTCACACAAAATGGCCCCTGCAACAAGCAGGAACCTCACAGAGTCACAGACAGCTCAAAAACCAACTATCACACTTTCCACAAAAATTCGGGCAATAGGTAGTAAAAAAAATGCTTTAAAAAGTAAAAAAAAAAAAAAGTTCCAACAATGGTGTGGCACAGCTGATTGTCACAGCTGATCATCGGAACCTCTTTTTAAAAACTTTTTAAAGCATTTTTCTACTACCGGTTCTGGCGAACCAGTAGCATTTTCACTAGTGGTTCAGGCGAACCGCCCTGAACCAGTAGCATTTCACCCCTGGGTAGCGATCTAGATGATACTTTGTTATGAGATACCCAAGGCATGTTCTATTAGGATTAAGCTTTTTCAGAAGCATTTTAATTGCTAAAGGAAAGTTCTGCTTTTAAGAAATTATTACAGGGTATTATTATTATTATTATCATCATCATCATCATCATCATCATCTGCTTTCTGCTGGAAAAAAATGAGAATTTGTCCATGAGACTTCTCTGTGTGTCAAGTTTAGCAACAAACGTCGAAATGTCTAGTACAGAGATGTGGAAAAGGATTTCAACTGCAAACATTGTTTCTAAAATATTGCCTTTAATGTGCCTTTTCACTGTTTCTAGTGCCATTTAATTAGTTGTATACTTGCTTCTACGTTTAAATACTGCCCTTATTGTTTCTTCCTTGTTGGCTTTCTGTCTTGATTTTATTGAGCCCTAGAAAAGCAGCACAGAAGTAACAAACAGAAGAATCCCAAAGTCTTATGGGTTTCACAGCAGAGATAAACTTTACTCTCTACATAGTTTTCACCATCATTCTGCATAAGTTGAAAGATGACCATTTATGCCACTTCGGTGGTTCTTACCTAAATTATACACAAAATAGATTTTTATTACAATCATAGACCAGATCAAAAACAGAAAGAAAATATGTGAAACTAGAGACAAAACCCACAATAAAACCAGGGGTGGGCTTCAAAAAATTTAGCAAGGGGTTCTCTGCCCGATTGCTGGGTGAGCGTGGCCATGGTGGGTGTGGCCTAGTCAGCCTTCTGCACCACGGCAGGGGGGGGGCATGTTTACCCTCCCCGGGATCCGGAGGCTTTACTTGAGCCTCCAGGAGGGCGAAAATGACCTCCCAAGGCTCCGGAGGCCCTCTGGAGGCTGGGAACGGGCCCATTTCTTGCCTTCCCGAGCTTCCAGTAGGCCTGTTTTTTTTGCCCTTTGCCCTTTGCCCTGCACTTACCTGCATCCAAACCAGGCTGCATGAGGACTCCTGGGAGAGGAGGGGCGGGGTGGGCTGGGCCAGCCAGGAGTGGGATTTGGGGGTTCTCCGAACTGCGCAGAATCTTAGCTAGAGGTTCTCCCGAACCCCTGCAAACCCCCAGCAGCCCAGCCCTGAATAAAACCCATAAAATTTTACTTATAAAATTATTATGGTCAAAGTATGATGTGCTTTACAAAAAGTAAAACAAAACATAGCCATGTTAAGAAACTATTGAACAGATTAATAGGAACTGTAAACAAATTGGTTCCAGATGCTTATGTCCTACAAAATGACAAGAAGGAGACCCATTCCACTCTATGTCATGGAATTCCTAATTATGAATGTCCTTTGCTTCCTTGTTTATGCAGACAAAGTAGTAGAAGAAGAGAACTTTAGAACAGGAGTCCCCAACTGGACCATGGCCTACTTGGAACCAGGCCTCATGAGAGGCAGGTTGACATGCATGCGCACACAACTCAACTTGCATGAGCAGCAGCCCAGTGTATGTGCACACATGCACGCAGCTCAACTTGGACAATTTGAGCTGCATGTGCATGGCATGCAC